GGGAAACACTACTGATTTCCTTAAAAATTCATCACCAAGTTTGCATCCTGCTTTCCTTCTACATTGGGAGTCTGAGCTTTGCTCCTGCTCATGTGTAATATATATTCTGAATTATGGGACAGCTTGGATATAAAGGAAAATCATACTCTCCAGACATCTTTGTTACTGCTACCTCTGTGCTGCTTCTTGGTTTTATCTGGAGAGTAATAACTCTCCTGTTATTTTTGGGAGAGCTACTGCCCCTCACATCTCTGTCTGTCTGGGCTACTGGTATATCAGTAACAGGCATGAGAGAAGAAAACATGGAAAAGTCGTTAAATGGGGATCTACACAAGCAAGTGGAAATGGGTGATTGATGGTATCTTTAGTGTTTGGGGGCCCAAACACATGTAGGTTTCCTTCTGGATAGAGTAAAGGCACTTGCAGGCAGCAGGGAATGAGTTTAACGCGTGAAACTGAAGGATCCTCCTGGAGTGCAGGTGCATCTGCTCCCAGGGCATCTTTGGTTTCCTCCTAATCTGGGCAGGAGCTGAAGCATGTGCACAAATGTGTGCTGAAGGCAGTTTTTCCCAAGGGTGGGATTGGCAATGGTTGTATTTTGTGCAGAAAGAAATTTTGGCTTTCCCACGTGGTTCTCTGAGGACTCTTCTAGCTGGTGGGGTAATGCTTTCCTTGGAACATCCTCCAAGCAAATAGCATTCCTTTGAGCCAGCTGGATTTTTAGCACATTGTCCTGGGTGTTAGGCGAGCAGTGCCACGTTTGAGATCCACTTTAGGTGGGCAAGGTGGTCTCTCATCTGCAGTGCGATAGCTCCCGGTGAAGACTTCATGTTCTTGTCCCATCACTCTCCTGTTTCCTACAGTCAGTTCCTGTATCATGAGCACTACATGAAACTGATTTCACTTGTTAGCCCCCTTTTTTTTCTCCATTCAGTGTATCATATTTGGGATCTTTTTCCATGGGAGCTCTAGCAACTAGAGACTTTGCATTGAAGCCCTGCGAGATCCTGCCAAAGTGAATCGTAGAGTCCCGGAATGGTTTGGGATGGAAGGGGCCTTAAAGATCATCCAGTTCCAAGCCTGTGATGTGCCAGTCCCTCTCTTGCATCAGCCTGGGAAGGAACAGAAGATCAAGCTCAATAAGCTGCTGGACACAAACCAAACCTGACTGTAAAGGAGGGAGGTTGGACCTAAAGGATGTTTTTTCCTAACCTGAATTGGCATGATTCTTGCTATTGATCTCACCAGAGCACATTAACCATCATCTCAAAAGCTTCCCATATCCTATAACCCCACAGGCTTGTTTGCAACCTTGTGGTTAAACATTGGACAAGTCTTTCTGGTTTTTTCCACATAGAAGCCTCCAGAGCTGGTGGAAAATGGGCAGCATGTAAAGCTCATGGATGCACTGTGCCTTCCACTGGGTCCCTTCCAACCTCACACATTGTCTGCTCCTGTGGTTCTCCCCTGCTTTGCTACTGGCATTTGTGTCCTCCTGTAAGTCCCTCTCCTGCTCAAGAGTGGATGTTGCATTCCCAGCTGCTCCTCTTTCCTCCTCTCCTTCTTAGCCAGGTGTTTGCTGCTGAAGCATGTGAGTACCTTCTCTGGATTGGTGTCAGGATGTGTAATGGATGCCTTATCCCTGGAAGTGGAGGGCCAGGTTGGATGGAGCTCTGAGCAACCTGGTCCTGTGGGAGGTGTCTCTGATCACGGCCGGGGGTGGGAACTAGATCATCATTTAGGTTCCTTCCAACCCAGGCCATTCTGTGATTCTGTGATATGGGAGTTTTGCTGTTTCATGGCTAATCCTCCGCCAAAAAATCATGTCCAGATCTTGCTTTATTGTGCATGCCTTCCCTGGGGCTGGCTGAGCTTCCTTAGGCATGATACAACACTTGAGGAATCAAATAATCCTGTGTGTGTGTGGTGGGAGCCGAGGAGTGCAGGCAGGTACTGCTGCTGGGTTTGATTGGCAGCAAGTGCTGGGCTGAGCTCAAATATTGCTGACTTTTTAAAAGGCATAATTATGTGATTCAATCTATATGTTTGATGTTCCTACTAATCCATTAGCAGCTCAGGATGTAAAGACGGATGCTTCCTAGGAACATGCAGAGGCAACAGAATAGCAGCTCTTTGTGTGAGTGAGCAGCTTGTTAGGAAATAAGTGATGCAAACAGACATTTGTGGGACTGATTTGCCTCAGAAGCACTCGGTGACTTGATGTCTTCGTCATTTTGCTTGTAACTCTCTGTCACTTGGGTTTCTTGAAGCTTGTAAGATGTGAAGTGTTGGTGTGTGTTCCCAGCAGAATCATGAGGTGGGGAGGCAAAGGTTGTGCTCAGACTTCTGCCATGTCTCAGGTGAAAGGATGAGAGGAAACAGCCTCAAGTTGCACCAGGGGAGGTCCAGATTAGGTAGTAGAAAAAACTTTACACTGGAAGAATGGTCAGACATTGGAGTAAGTAGCTTAGGGAGGCGTTGGAGTCACTGTCAACTGGAAGTGTTCAAGAGACAGCTGGATGTGGCATTTGGGAATGTGCTTTATAGGTGATTATGGTGGTGCTGGATTGATGGTTGAGCTAAATGATCTTGAAGGTCTCTTCCAGCCTTGAATCTGTGATTGGGTTTGGGGATGGTGGGGCTGGCTGTGTGCTGCTGGCCCAGCTCCCCACTCTGGGTCAGCCTCTTTGAGCCCCTTGCTGCAGCCTTGGGGGTCCTGAGGGACTCCTGGCAGTCATTTAGTCAAACTGCAGAGTTTATAATCACTTGATCCCTAGTAAAGGGACTGTTTGGAGGAGTATCTGTGCTTCCATGGCTCACTGGAGCAGCATCTCCTTTGCATCTAGTGCATTTCCAAAGCCAAGTCACATTTGTGCTGGCTGAGCTTCCTGCTCTGTCTGGGGCTGCTGGGGGAGCATCTGATGTGACCACCAGGGCTGTGATCCTGTGCTGCCTGTGTTGCTTTACCTCTCAGGTGGAAGAATTTCTGCTTAGTTTTTGGATTGCTTTGGGGTGTTTAATGATAGGCATTGCTCATCAGCAAATAGAATCTGTGGCTAAAACCCCATTCAGCAAACATTAGTCCCATTGTTGTTTTTGAAAGTAGATGACAACTTCATTGAGTTCATATATTCTGTGTCATTACCTGCTGCAGGTGAGACCAATGTGCCCAAATACCTGCCCACTTGTGTTGGGGCAGGCTGGGGCGTAGCTGTGAGCTGACAACTTGCTAACACCGACCTGATGAAACTGTGTTATAGCTCTTTGGATCCTGAAAGTCATTAGTGATTGCCTATGAAACTGTAAAATACAGTTTCTGTTTCTTCATTAGTGGAGTGTGTGAGGAACATACCCAGCTCAGAAATGTGAGAATTTGGGTTTTGTCAACACCTGTGTGTAACTGTGGCAACACTGATAAAACTTGGTAACTGAAAAAACACCTGGAAAGGGAAAAGAGTGTGGAAACATGATTTAACTGGAGTTTGGGAAGAGCCCTAGACAGGGTTCATCCTCAGCCCCTGCAGACAGCCTCAGTGGGTGAGGGGTTGGCAGTGTTTGATGATGTGATGTTCTGTAGAATAATAGGATCCCTGAATGGTTTGTGTTGGAAAGGACCTTAAAGCTCACTCAGTTCCACCCCCTGTCATGGGCAGAGACACCTTCCATTAGACCAGGTTGCTCCAAGCCCCATCCAACCTGGCTTTGAACACTGCCAGGGGTGGGGCAGACACAGCTTCTCTGGGCAACAGAGAATAATTATCACTCCTGGGGATGCACGGAGGAGGTGAGGGAGGTTTGAGTGCTGGGGGTGTAACAGCACGTTGGGAACTGGAAGTAAATAAGGAATTAAGGTGGAGCTGTGTCTTGCAAAGGATCACAGACATATGGAATAAGTTACCAGGGAAGGTGGCTGGAGCAGAGAGTATAAGTGAGTCTGAGACATCTTGATTAGTTTCTGGAGGAAAGGATTGAAGAGTGGAGTGAAAAAGCAGGGAA